CCCATGCATCAGGTGGTGGTGGGATTGGCTCAAGCGCTGTGGCAGCGACCTTTACTGCCCCCCTCCCTTCCATCCCTCCTTTCCTCCCCATCTCAATCCCCTCCTTTCCTCCTCATCTCAATCCCCTCCTTCCCCGCTCCTCCCTCCCCTCCCCATGCATCAGGTGGTGGTCTGATTGGCTCAAGCGCTGTGGCAGCGACCTTCACCTCAGGCTGCTGGTAGGTGTTTTGAGCGGTTCAGGGGGGTGTTGATGGGTGCTGGGGGGTGCTGATGGGTGCTGGGGGTTGCTCGGGAAACCTTCACCACAGGCTGCTGATGGGTGGGGGGTGGGGGATGCTGGAGAGCGCTTGCGGGTACTCGGGTTGAGAATAATGGGTGGTGAATGGTGGGTGGTGTGACAGATGGTGTGAGGCTGCATCACCTTCCCACCCAGCACCCTCACACTCCGCCACCTGCTCTGCGCTGCCTGCACGCCCACCCATCTCTTTCTCCTGCATTCCCCTCACTCACAAATAAACCTTCCCCTCTGTTTCTCCTGCATTCCCCTCACTCACAAATAAACCTTCCCCTCTGTTTCTCCTGCATTCCCCTCACTCACAAATAAACCTTCCCCTCTGTTTCTCCTGCATCACGCAAACAGATCAAGTTCCCCATCTCGGGAAGCAGCAGCAGCGCCAATGGCAAGGCTTCTACACCTCAGGTGAGTGAGTGGGTGAGTGAGTGAGTGAGTGAGTTAAGGGTTGAAGTGACATTCTTTCTTACATGCATTACCGCCACTGCCCTCCTCTCTCCTCATCAGCAGCACCAATAGCAAGGCTTCCAAACCTCAGGTGAGTGAGGAGACGATTTTTGAGTCGACTCAAAAACCATCTCGGGAAGCAGCAGTGAGTGGAGAAAGACGCGTCCTGCGTCTAGGACGCTTGCGTCCAGACGCAGCGTCTTAGACGCAGGACGCTAGAGGAGGGCCTTTATGACGCATGAAAAGACGCATGCCCGGGCAGGGCAAAAAAACCCCCGGGCAGCCGAAAAATGATGTTATAGGGTATGGGAAGGGGGGGGGAACGACGATGCACACATTTGAGGCAAAATCGTCCCCTTCAAATTTTCAGGGTTTAGGGTTTACGAAGGAGAATTGTCTTGGTAAACCCTCTAGGGTGTTTTTGATGGTCGAAATGGGTTAGGGGGGGTCGACATGACGCGAAATTGACAGTCGCATCGAAATCGTTGAAGTCAATTTCACGTTGGGGCAATTTAATTTTTCGGTCAGCCCGAAAAAATACGGGGTGCGTCCTGCGTCTGGACGCGCGTCCTGCGTCTCTGCGTCTGGACGCTGCGTCCAGACGCAGGACGCAGCAGGACGCGTGCGTCTTTCTCCACTCACCAATGGCAAGGCTTCCACACCTCAGGTGAGAGACTGAGTGATTTGATTGAGTGAGAGAGGGGTGAATGAGGGAGTTGATTCATGAAAGCATGGTGACATCCTGTCTTACATTTCTTACATGCCTCCTCCTATTCCATTGCCTCCTCTCTCCTCTTCCTCTCGTTCCTCTATCCCTTTCAACGACTCCGTCCCTTTCTCTCCCTCTTCCACAGTTGAACCTAGGAGCCCCCCCTCTCCTCCTCTCCCTCCTTGGCTTCCCAGAAACAAAGCGATCTTTTGGGTCGACTCAAAACACTCCCTTCCCCAAACGTCTGTCGTTTTCTCCCTCTTCCACAGTTGAAGCTAGGAGACCCGCCACTCCTCCTCTCCCTTGTCGGCTTCCCAGAAACAAAGCGATCTTTTGGGTCGACTCAAAACACTCCCTTCCCCAAACGTCTGTCTTTTTCTCCCTCTTCCACAGTTGAAGCTCGGAGGCCCGCCACTCCTCCTCTCCCTTGTCGGCTTCCCAGAAACAAAGCGATCTTTTGGGTCGACTCAAAACACTCCCTTCCCCAAACGTCTGTCGTTTTCTCCCTCTTCCACAGTTGAAGCTCGGAGGCCCGCCACTCCTCCTCTCCCTTGTCGGCTTCCCAGAAACAAAGTGATCTTTTGGGTCGACTCAAAACACTCCCTTCCCCAAACGTCTGTCTTTTTCTCCCTCTTCCACAGTTGAAGCTCGGAGGCCCGCCACTCCTCCTCTCCCTCCTCGGCTTCCCAGAAACAAAGTGATCTTTTGGGTCGACTCAAAACACTCCCTTCCCCAAACGTCTGTCTTTTTCTCCCTCTTCCACAGTTGAAGCTCGGAGGCCCGCCACTCCTCCTCTCCCTCCTCGGCTTCCCAGAAACAAAGTGATCTTTTGGGTCGACTCCAAACACTCCCTTCCCCAAACGTCTGTCTTTTTCTCCCTCTTCCACAGTTGAAGCTCGGAGGCCCGCCACTCCTCCTCTCCCTCCTCGGCTTCCCAGAAACAAAGTGATCTTTTGGGTCGACTCAAAACACTCCCTTCCCCAAACGTCTGTCTTTTTCTTCCTCTTCCACAGTTGAAGCTCGGAGGCCCGCCACTCCTCCTCTCCCTCCTCGGCTTCCCAGAGACCAAGCTGCCTGCCTGGACCGACTCCATGTGAGTGAGAGGCTGTCAATTGCTATTGCAATTTCAACGAGGTAATTTCGAAGTCAATGAGAAAATCACCTTCTAGGCTTCCTAGAAACCAAGCTGCCTGCCTGGACCGACACCATGTGAGAAGTGTGGCTCTTTCGCGGGGGCTTTGTTTTGGTTTCCACACATTCATTGGGTTGTTGTTTTGTGTGGGCGTGGAAATGGGCTTCAGTGTTGCGCATGTGTGGCATGCCCTGTACCAGTGTTCGCTGCGTTGCTCTGCTCACACATGCTCGGCTTCTGTCTTTTTCCAGCTCTGTTCAAATGTGACCGCACATCATCGCACCACACCGCGTTGCACACCTTCCCGCAGGTGCACAGTTGCGTATCTGCCTGAGCTTGCTGCATTCATCCATCAGCGAGTGAGTCACACCGCACTCCACCTCCCGTCACTCTTTTCTCACTTTCCAGCAAAGGCTGTTCGAATGTGCAAGGCTGGATAAAAGGGCTACTTTTTTATTTCAGTACAAAAGTATCCACTTATTCATACTTACCCATAGGAAAGTCAACAATTATCACACCTGCAAAGAAATGTGCGGTGAGTGTGGATCGAACACGCGACCTTCAGATCTTCAGTCTGACGCTCTCCCAACTGAGCTATCCCCGCCTGTGTTTTGATATACCTTCTAATCTTCCGATATATTTTTTAACTGTCTCTCTCTTCGCCGCGTCAGCTTGATAGTGCTGTCTCTTCCATGCAAAGCCGCGCGGACTTCATTTCTTCTGTGCCCGCGGTATTCGGGCAGCCTTTAGAATCTGACACAGTAAGTTCCTCTCTTTCTGTAAATACGAAAAGTCCTTCACCACTGCCCTGCTCCCGCATTCCCCTTCCCCTCGATCACTCTACTCAATCATTCCCCTTATTCACCTTCTCTCCATCCACCCATTTCGTATAAATCCCCTCATCTCATCCGTTCATCCCGGCAGCAACTATTCTCTCACACCACGCTCTTTGTGACGGCCAACAGCTGCATGTGCCTGGTGCGTGCTGCCCCACACCACCTGCATCCCTTACCCCTGCATCTGCCTGTCACCTGCTAGTCCCGATGCACGTATTGCCCCACCCACCCATTCTCCTGAACGACACTCTTTGTGTCAGCCAACAACTGCACGTGCCTGGTGCGTGCTGCACCCACTTCCTGCATGTGCCTGCCGCGTGCCCCTCCCACCACTTGCATGTGCCTGCCACGTGCCCCTCACACTCCCTGCATGTGATTGCCACGTGCTACTCTCAATGCATTGCTTGTCCCAACCATGCTCTCTCACGCTCCCTGCTGGGCTAAAAAAGCTCCGGGTTGCCAGCAGCACCGTCTTGTGTGCCATGGTATCCTCTTACAGTCTTGCCCCTCCACCCCAATCACCTCCCCCTCCACCCCAATCACCTCCCCCTCCTCACACACTTTTTCCATCCCTCTATCTCTCCCCAATTCCTCTAGCCTCGTTTCTCACCCCTCGTCCTTCTCACCCCTCCTCTCTCACCTCAGGTGCGCATTTCTCTGCCTCCATCCTTCCCACAGCAGCAGCCCTCCATCACCCTGCAATCCATTCATGTAAGCACCATGTTATGCTTGTGTCATAATATTCCATCGCAATGCCCCATCTCAATGCTCCCCCATCCCAATTCCCCATCTCAATGCTCCCCCATCCCAATGCCCCATCTCAATGCTCCCCCATCCCAATGCCCCATCCCACTGCCCCATCTCAATGCTCCCCCATCCCAATGCCCCCCATCCCAATGCCCTGTCCTTGTTCCCCCATCCCATTGGCTTATCCTCGTTCCCCAATCCCAACGCCGCTGTCTCATTCTCCCCCAAACCACACCTTACAGCACTTCACCGCACACAACCGCCCCGTGTCGTCGGAGCCAATCAGCAGCTTTCCTTGGAGCCCCCGCTGGTCTCCTGCTCAGATGGCGCAGCGCCTCAGGTGAGTGGAGGGAAAGGGTGTGTTTGATGGGTGCGTGCTGGGTGCGTGCTGGGTGCGTGCTGGGTGCGTGCTGCTGGGTGCTTTGATGGGCATTTGGTGGGTGCTTGGTGTCGATTGCATTTCTCGGTGCTCGCTGTGCCTCTTTGGGATAGAATTATGCACCCAAAGTGCATCCTCGCTCTCTCCCTCTCTGCGTGCCCCTTCTGTCCTGAAGCTCATTCCTGGAAGATGAAACTGTCGCTTTCAAGCGCTTCTGTATTGACGTCTCCAGAGCTGCTGCTTCAGCGAGAACTTGAGATGATTATTAGGAAACCATAAATAAAGAACGTTACTGTATATGGTTTTTTTAGAGCATGACAGCGTTGACTTATAACGATTGTGAGTGCACAATGGGCTATGAACGTGGATTGATATCAGTTTGCTGTTTGAAAAGGTACAAAGATCTACGCAAAAGCCAACCACGCCTTTCCAAAACAGCCCAACGCAACCATATCAGATTAATACTTTGGCGAGTACAGCTGCGGCGCCTCCTGTGTGGAAACAGGCGCGGTGACATTGCCGTACTCATGGATGCGGTTGAAGCGCCAGTAGTTGTCCGGCAGGTCTCCCCCGGGGAACCACTCCCCCAGCTCCGCGAATTTCTGTGCCACTTCCGACACGGCAAAGTAGTTGATGGGGAACTGGTCGCTTGTAAGCACACCCTCCGTCTGCCTGGGAATGCGCTTGTACTGCATTTAAGAGGGAAGCATGTAAGGGGTATGGATAAGGGAGAAACTGATGAGGGGAGAGAGGCTGGAAATAGTTGATGAGGAACTGGTCGCTCGCCAGCACCCCCCTTCCGTCTGCCTCGGGATGCGCTTGTACTGCCAATAGAGGGAGTGCAGATAAATGGAAAGGCAGAGAACGAGGAAGAGGCATGAAGTCGTTGACCGGGAACTGGTCGCTCGTTACCACTCCCTGGGAATGCACTTGTTTGTGCTGCAGAAGGAGACTTTCGATGTTTGTGCTGCAGAAGGAGACTTTTGATGTTAGTGCTGCAGAAGGAGACTTTTGAGTCGACTCAAAAGTCACCTTGAGTCGACTCAGGAGTCACCTTGAGTCGACTCAACCCCCCCCCCCCGTCTGCCCGGGAATGCGCTTGTGCTGCAGAAGGAGCAGTTGAGGGGAGAGCAGATAAGACAGCCGGCAAGGGGAATGAGGGGGGAAGAAGCATCAAGTAGTTGATGGTAACTGGTCGCTCGTTAACATGCCCTCCCTCTGCCTAGGGATGCGCTTGTGTTGATGTGAGAGAAAAGGGGGAGGAAAATTGTGGGGCTAGAAGTGGCTGTGGGGAAATATAAGCTGGATCGCAGCGAGTCTGCTAGTGCTGGATTGATTAGCTGGATGGGAAAATTCCTCCATCTGCATTAGGGGTCTGCTAGTGTTGCAGTGAGAGCAAGGGGAGGTGAGGAAGAGGGGTGATGGGGTAATGCAGAGCAGAGACAAGGCAAGAGCGGCGGCAGCATGAATGCAAAGGTCCTCGATCACAGCTTCTTCAGGCAGGTTAACTGACTCTACACACACCCTCTCTTCCCATCACCAATATCACCAATCTATAGAACTTGACAGGGACTCACCAGGAGGAACGCAATGATCCTGGCAATGACAGCATCTTTAGGCAGGTTGACGGCCTCGGAGTACACCCTCCCCAGCACGATGCGGTGGCGCGTCTCCTTGTCATCCTTGGTGACGTAGACGTCATACATCCACCCACCGTTGATCAAACTCTATCCAAACGCTTCAAGTTCCAAGCAACGAGAACAAAGCCCCCACCAGCAGCACCAGGGACTCACCAGGAGGAACGCAATGATCCTGGCAATGACAGCATCCTCAGGCAGGTTGACGGCCTCGGAGTACACCCTCCCCAGCACGATGCGGTGGCGCGTCTCCTTGTCATCCTTGGTGACGTAGAGGTCGTACATCCACCCGCCGTTGGTCTTGATCTTGGCGTCCATGGTCAGGTCGAACTCGATCACCTCCCCGGAGGGCGCTGTCTCTCTGATGTGCACCACGCGCGCTGCTGACGCCTCCTGCTCCGCTGCTGCCGCCGCCAGCTCCTCTGCTGACTGCGACTTGGACTGGCAGGGGCGGGAAAGAAGGGGGGGAGGGATTGGTGGAACGGGAAGGGGCAGGGGGAATGGGGTGCATGAAGAGGTAGAAGATTGACAAGGACTGGAAATTGTGTGGATGGGAGACTGGCAAGGGATGGATTGCAAGCGAGATTGGGGCCGTTGCATGCAGCAGGTTTCGTCCCAGGCCAATGGCAGCTGCGATGCTGCAGTTAGCCCTCGGTCACCCAAGAGTCAGGACACGAGTGTGGGCGAGTGAGAGTTCTGAGTGAAGGCGTGGGTGAAAAGTTGAGGGTGTGAGAGAGGGTGTGAGTGAGTGTAAATGTGCGTGGGTGAGGGCGAGTGTGAGTGATTGTGAGAGTGAATGAGTGCGAGCGAGGAGGCATACCGGCAGCACGTCGCACTTGCCCTCCTCAATGAGCTTCGGGTCATACTCCATCTGCACAGCAACGGACAGAACGGACAAGGGCACGCAATGCAACCAATGTCAATGAAACAGTAAACCAGCAATTCATGAGCAGGAAACCAACAGTAGAGCGAGCATTGAAGAGTAGTCAACGAAGGGGGGGTGCGCAGCCAGTAAACCTCCCTCCCGGTTTGTTGTTATTTCTCCCTGCCGGTCTGTGGTGATAATTCCCTTAGCCTGGCACGCGAAGGGTTGGTCGACTTCTTTTCTTACCCATCTTCTTTGCAGGATATGCCACCCCTTTTCGCACCAGAGAGAGGATCCATACTTCAGCCGAACCCTCGTGCTTCTGAAACGTCTAACGCCCTTCCGCTGCAATCACAATTGCTCCTTACCCCTCGCGAAATCAAGCGCGAATCCAGCATCCAGCGCACTCAGTCGCACACGCACCGCAGCACCCTAAGACCACTCGCTCCATGCCCTCGTTGCTGGCACATTACTAATTTCTACTAGTACCCTCGTTAAAGTCGCATTCGATCCCACTCATCTCCTCGAGGCCGCGGTCCACCATCATCTGCAGCAGCGCCTTCGCCTTGGACTGCGCTGCCGCAACCTTGCCTCACGTACCACCCCATCATTATAATCACACCCACATCTCAGACAAACATCCTCATTATAGTCACATTCAACTGACCTCCTCCTTGAGGCCGCGGTCCACCATCATCTGCAGCTGCACAGCCGCCATCCCACGCCTAACACCCTTTCATAATAATCACACCCACAGCTCAGCACCCTCATTACAATCACAATAAACTCACCTCCTCCTTGAGGCCGCGGTCCACCATCATCTGCAGCAGCGTCTTCGCCTTGGACTGCGCCGCCGCCACCTTGCCTCTCTCCGAGATCGACCCAGCGTCCGCAGGCCGCTCCCAGTACCCCCTCTGCACGGGATCCGTGTTGCCGACGGGCGGAATTCCCATCTCCGAGAACCACTGTAGCATGTGGAAAAGGTGAGAAGATAATAGGAAATACGGCAGAGTACAATATAGGGAATAGTTATTGCGTGCTTGCGCTCCGTCCTCTTCAGAATGGAACGGCGACTGCCGGCCGCTCCCAGTACCCCCTCTGCACGGGATCCGTGTTGCCGGTCGGCGGAATTCCCATCTCCGATAACCACTTCAGCACGCGGAATCCCCAACGCCTATGTTTCTAACATGCAAACGGAAATCTGATTGCGGGAGACTCTTTGGGATTAATATAAAGCTGAGATTTTGGGTGACTCGTGGAGAAAATATAGCTGCACAAGCTAGAGAATTTCACATTTCTCACAGCAGGACGGACGGCAGACCTGGCCGCCGTATAAAACTACATAGTCCCACGACCCGTTATGAGAATCCGCGCTAATCGTACCTGCGCGCGAATGTCAATCATCTGCTGCTGGTCCATGGTCGACAGGTTGTGCAGCTTGTAGTAGTAGCAGAACTCGGAACGACACAACCCACTATAAGCATCCTCATCATCCGTACCTGCGCGCGGATGTCAATCATCTGCTGCAGGTCCATGGTCGACAGGTTGTACAGCTTGTAGTAGTAGCAGAACTCGGAACGACACAACCCACTATAAGCATCCTCATCATCCGTACCTGCGCGCGGACGTCAATCATCTGCTGCTGGTCCATGGTCGACAGGTTGTACAGCTTGTAGTAGTAGCAGAACTCGGAACGACACAACCCACTATAAGCATCCTCATCATCCGTACCTGCGCGCGGATGTCAATCATCTGCTGCTGGTCCATGGTCGACAGGTTGTACAGCTTGTAGTAGTAGCAGAACTCGGAACGACACAACCCACTATAAGCATCCTCATCATCCGTACCTGCGCGCGGATGTCAATCATCTGCTGCTGGTCCATGGTCGACAGGTTGTACAGCTTGTAGTAGTAGCAGAACTCGGGGCGCCGTCCCATGAGCGTTCGCAGCGAGTTGCGCACGTCCTTGGAGAACCCGATATACTGCACCTTCTTGTTCTTATCGAGTACAGCGAACACGGACGCCGTGGTTCCCGGCTCGACGGGAGGGACTATACGACCCTGCTGGTTGATGTAACTCAGTAGCGGGAGTTCGTTCAGCGACGGGAGTTTCGCGGAACCGCCGGCCGCGACGACCACGGCGCGAGATGCGGAGCGGGAATTGCGGCTGGATTGGCTCTTAGCGAGTGTGATTCTAACGCCTTGGAAGGCGGAAGATGCGGATTTTGAGACAAAATCTGATCCGAGATGGACGCGAGGGGACGCCACGTGGCAGGTCGCGGTGGGCCTGGACGAGGCATTGCGTGCTGACGAGGCAATTTGAGAGACTGAGCTGGCAGCAACTGCTGCTCGTTGAGCGACGGACGCCATGGTTACAGCGGCGAAGCTACAGCGAAAACAGTCAAGCAAACGTCCTGATAAGCAGGCAAAAAGCCACAAGGAATGTGGCTGCTTCGCGTTGCTGCTGCACGCAAAACGTTCCCGTTTGTAGAGTATGAAGCAAGTGAAATGGAAAGCAATGACACTGGGTGCCAGAAATAAGGTTCCTTGGGAACGTGGACGAAGCTGTTCACTAGCTCTCCCCTAGCCTTGTCCTGCCATGTCTCCCTTCGCTTCTTCCCTGCTCGCGCTGTTATCCTCTCAGCTCGGCTCGCGGCGAATCCGACGCCCTGGGCTGGGGAGCTGCACCTTGGGATTGGTAACGCAATCACGGTTTGCTGATGTGGACGCCCCGAGAAAATGGTCAGAGGCTGATGTGGCAGGAAATGAAATTTCGAGATAGCATACACCCGAGAATCAACACTTAGGTGAAACACATGAGTTAACCTACTCTGATTATTTTTTTTAGAGGAAAATCTATACTCACAATATGGAGAAACATATGTACGTGTCTAGTCAGGAAACATGTAGCTAACTTCAGAACCGTGCACTGTGGACTCCTAAATACGCCTACAAATGCAAGGGCAGCTTATCTAGTTCATAACAAGCTATTACCAACCTAAAACCTTTTAGCCAGTGGGTGGGCAGTGGACATAGAGCAAACCAGAGGTTAGTGTGTGTCAGCATGGTACCATGTCATGATGTGACAACCCGGCCGGAGCGACATCAGAGGGCGGCTTGCATGAGGGGATCCTGTGCTGTGATGCTGATGTCACCATACGGCTCTGTCTGCTGCACTTGAATGAAGTCCCTCGTCTTCAGCACCTGGTGAATCAGGGTTTCGCACAGGGTTTACGGCAGTACAGAGTTAAAGCCAGGGTCTCAAGTAAGAGATTCTGGCGTCAACTGCAAAGCAGTTGAAGCTCCGTTACTCTGTTTGTAGCAGGCGAGCTGACTGGTTGGCCTGGGAAGTAGTGTGCGACACACCCCTGTTTTTGCCCCCACAAGAATTGCAAAACATTCGGCTTTTTACTTGGGACTTTCGGGGCTTTCGACAAGTTGCTAGCATTTCAGCTTCGGCCCACACCAACTTCCGTGGCTAAATGGTTCGGAAACAATTCAACTATTTGTGTCCACTTCGCAACCCTCGCTTCACCCCTCCCCTAAACTTGGACCTCGCCAACCAATCCCAGTCGACCTCCTACCACCAACTGCAAAGCACTCGTACTACTTGAGACCCTGGCTTTAAGTGAGAGAGTTCAGGCTAAATAAGTCACCATTTGGGATGGAGGGTTCAGGGTAAGTGAGAGAGCAGAGAACGGGCACTGAACAGGTGGATCTTAGAAACGTGCGGATAATGAAATCATATCAGCTTGTGCAAGAGCCCGCTCCCCTACGCCATGCACTCACGAGGGTCTCAAAGAACATCCGAGCAGCCTCTCGTCTCGGCCGTCCCTTCACCACCGCCAGCAGCGACACCGACGGCTGCGATCGCGCCGACTCCACCCCCACCGATTCCTCTGTCCCCACTGCTGCTGCTGCTGCTGCTCCCCCCCTTCCATTGCCCGCCAGTGCCTGCTGCTCCGCCAGAGCTGTCAACGAATGCTGCAGAAACTTGGCAGCACCTCTGGGGTGGATGCGGGGGAAGGGAGGGTATGGGAAGGGAGAGGTTAGCAGGGAGGGAAGAAATGTCAGGGAGGGGCATGGTAGCAAATGTCCCCACTTCCCTGTGAAAGGATCATCTGTCAGATCCGTTCACATCCCAACCCCACCATCCCTTCACCCCAAACTCAGAATTTCCTGAAAGGGCAACACCCGAAAACTCAACGGAGTCAACGGGGAAAAAATAGCTTCGGAAAGGCAGGCAATTGTAGGTTCGGAAAACTTCCGAAACCCTTTTGCCCTGAACCCAGCAGAAGCGAGACGCAAACTGGAGCCAGTTTGTGAAGGCTTTTCTGTAATTCGGGAGCTGGGCTTTAAACCCCCAACCCCCTTCCTAAGCCTCCCAACAACCCCTCACTTCCACCCTTCCCCACCGCTGCCCACCTGGTGCGCCAGCTCCAGCTGGAGAAGTCGTGGGCCCCTTCCTGGCAAAGTCATACACAATCAGTATCCGACCCCCCTCACTTCTCACTGTCCCCTCTCCCCCCCACCCACCCCATTCCTCTCCACCCTTCCCCACCGCTGCCCACCTGGTGCGCCAGCTCCAGCTGGAGAAGTCATCTGTGGGCCCCTCTGCTGCTGCTGCCTTGCGCTTGCCTGATCCCATCGGGTCCCACTCGTCCACCTCTGCAGATGCGGGGGTAGGCGGGCGGGTGTTGAGGGTGTTGGGAGGGTTCTGAGTGTGGGTAGGAGATTCACACACACAACCAATCCCCCAATCACCACAGCTCAATTTGTATCCACCCCTCACCATTGCTCACAACCTTCCACCACCCCTCATCACCGCTCATCACCGCTCACCTTTGTCGCCTCCATCTCTGAGGAAGTAAAAGTTCTCTTCCGACACATGCAGCTGCACACACACAGAATCCGGGAGGAGGGAAGAAGGGAAGAAGGGAAGAAGGGAAGGGAATATCACAGTGTCAACCACCATGTTGAACTCGAGGTGACTTTTGAGTCGACTCAAAAGTCACCTCGGAACCACCGAGAAGCGCAACTTGGAAACTAAAAAACGGAACGAGGAAAAACAGATTCAAGCTGAGGGCAGACCGGAACTATAGCCCTCGAAAAACTAACAGGCCAGAACAAAGACAGCAAAAAAACTCACTGCTGCTAAAGTGGCCTCTCTCCCCCTCCCTTCTGCTGCCGCTTCCCTCCCCCTCTCCTCTGCCACTGCCTCTCCTCTGCTGCCCTCGCGTTCCTCCTCCGATGCCCCCTCCTCCGGGGCTTCCATCAGCCCAGCGTCCATCGGAGGGAAATAAGGCTCTGTGGATGGTGTGACGCCAGCAGCAGGGAAGGACTGAGCGTCCGCAGCATGAGTATCAGCAGCACGAGCATCAGCGGGAGCTGCACCATTATCAGCTGCCTCTGCACCTCTTGCCGCCTCTGCCTCTGCGCCTGCTGCTACTCCCTCGCCACTTGCAGCAGGAGAGAGAGGAGCGACAGGGGAGAGAGGAGCAGCAGGAGAGCCGGGGGTGAAGGGCGTGGGGGGCACAGCAGGCATACCCTCCAACCCAGGAGCAGCACTGTCCGGGGTGGTGTGAGGGCGCAGCACCCAACCCGCCCCCTCTTCTCCATCAGGGGCCTGAGCCGGAGTGCCTCTTGCAACACCTGTAGCAGCAGCAGCTGTAGCAGCAACGTCTGTTGCAGTCCCTGGGCCAGACTCTCTCCCGTCCATGTGCTCCCTAACCACTTCCACTTCCTCTACCTCCTCCCTCCCCTCCACCACTTCTTCCCTCGCCACTCCTACTTCCTCCTCCCTCCCCATCCCTGCCTCTTCCCTCCCCACACCTGCTTCCACCCCCTCCCTCTCCACCCCTCCATCCATGGCCATAGCCTCCCCTTCCACGTGTTCCTCCCTCTCCACCTCCTCTTCCCCTCTCCTCCTCTCCACCCCCATCCCCTCCCCCTCCTCCCTGCCCCGCTTCCTCCCCGTCCCCCTTTCTCCAGGCCAACTCGGCAGGCTCGGCGAAGCCTCGGAGAAGAACCGAGCCAAAAACGAACCAAGACCCGCCCCCTCCTCCCCTTCAGCTATACCATCAGCAGCTGCAGCTGTCACTCCCGCCACACCATCTGCTGCAAACGCATAGGCCACCCCATCTGCCGCCCCACCATCTGTTACCCGTGCTTCACCCCCTGCAAGACCCACCGCTACAGCCGGTGATACAGTCTGTGCTACAGCCGGCTCCTGCAGGCCCTCCACGCCCGCCACGGACCAATGGAGCGCTGCCAGCTGGACCGGCGTGTGCGGGGCTTTGCGGCGCTTCCTCACGAGGTCGTCCGGGGAGATGAGCTGCTGGCGAATGGTTCTGTTGAGGGGGGAGGGAGGGGGGGGGGGGGGAATGGAGGGGGCAGGCGTAGCAGAAAGTGGGTGAGGCAGGGGAGATGGGCGGGGGAGAGGTTAGGCCTTGGTTCCTCACGAGGTCGTCCGGGGAGATGAGCTGCTGGCGGATGGTGGTGGTTGGGGGGAGGGGGAGGGCGAAGGGGGAAGGCGGAAGAGAGGGTGGGCGAGTCGAGGACTGTCTGAGTCGAGGCGGACACGCAGAGAAAGGGAATGGCAGCAACAGCGACTGAGAAACGAGGAAGGAATAAATGGCACAGAGGGCAGCACAGAGAGCGAGTCTAAGCCTGTCCTGTGAGTCCAGGCCGGCACTCAGAGAGAGGGAACGACAGTGATTGTGGCAGAAGAAAGGAGGAAAGAAAGGAGGAAAGAAAGGAGGAAAGAAAGGAGGAAAGAAAGGAGGAAAGAAAGGAGGAAAGAAAGGAGGAAAGAAAGGAGGAAAGAAAGGAGGAGGGAATGGCACAGAGGGCGTACTCAGAGGGCAGCACAGAGAGCGAGTCTAAGACTGTCCTGTGAGTCGATTGAAGGGCCGGCACACAGACAATGGGAGCAACAGTGATGGTGACAGAGAACGGAAGAGAAAGGAAGAGAGAAGAAGAGGGAAAGGCGTACTCAGAGGGCAGCACAGTGAGCGAGTCTAAGACCGTCCCCACACCATCCCCTCCTGCTGCTGCCCCTCGCTTCCTCTTTGCCTGCCCTCGCCTCGGGGGCCTTGGAGGCAGCCCCGCCCGAGCCTCGTCCGCAGGCTCGGGAGCCTCAGCAGGCTCGGCAGCTGCAGCGTGGTGTTCAGGCCCGGCCTGGTCCTCCTCTTGCACGGGTGCGGGTGCAGGTGTGGGTGTGGGCGTGGGAGCGAGTGCAAAGTCTGGCGTGGGGATGGCTGGGGTTGGTGCAGGGTGGTGGGGAGTGGGGAGGTGGAGCGGTGGGGGGTTAGAGGACAGGCAGGACAAGGGGGAACACAGAGAAGAGTAAGCATCATACGCCAATTGTTGGTGAGTAATCTCAATATCAAGAATCTTCACCACCAGTACCAACACTGGAACACAAGCACCAACCAGTGAGCATCACAACATCCTCTCACACATTCCCAACAAGGCATCCCCCCCCCCTCCCACCCCCACAGCCCCCCCTAACCTTCCCCCAATGCATCACCTGGAATGCCCACAGAGGGCGTGGCAAACCCTACAGACCCGCCAGGGGTAACCATCCCGCCCATGCGCCCCGCCTCCCCTGCCTCTTCTTCCCCTCTCCTCGCCTCCCCCTCCCTCGCCTCCGCCACGTCAGCCCGTGGTGTGCCTGGCACAGACCCCTTTCCTGCTGCACCAGCAGCAGGAGCAGCAGCGGCAGCAGCAGCTTCAGCGGCTTCTAGGGAGCGCGCATCATGGTCAGCAGGCATGGCTTCTGCTCGCCTCACCTCCACCTCCGGTACCTCCTCCCCTTCTTCCCCTGCCCCTCCTTCTGCCCCTGCCTCCGCCTCTGCCTGTGCGGCCCCTGCCCCTCTCTCTGCTCCTTCTTCTGCCCCTGCTGCCGCCTCAGCTGCTGCTGTCTCTGCTGTCTCTGCTGCCCCTGCTTCTCCTGCTTCCTGCCCTGCTGCTGCCTCTGCTGTTTCCCCTGCCGCCCCTGCTGCCCCCACCTCCCGCCTCTCAGCCTCCTCCTGTGCTGCTTCCACTGGCTGCGTTGCCTCCACTCCCTCCTCCCCCACCACTCCTCGCCCCTCTCCACCCATCCCCAACCCATCGCCACCCATCTCCATCCCCGCGCCAAACCCCATGTCCAGATCCATGGGCTCCATGAGCCCTGCCTCAGGCTCATACCCCTCCAGGCCCGCTTCAGGCTCATACGCCCCCCCCGCCCCCACAACCCCTTCTCCCCCCATCCCCCTCTCCTCCGCCACCTCCTCCGCCTCCCTCCCTTCATCCGCTGCCGCCGCCTCCCCTCCCGCCTTGCCTCCCTCTCGTGCCTCCTCGTGGGCCACGTCACGGGGAAGCCAAGGCTCGCCGTCCTCCTCGCCTTCTTCCACCAGCCGCATCACCGCACCCTCCTCCACCACCGCGAATTGCTCTGCATCGAGTGGGGGCGAGGGGAGCAGGGCCACGAGACGACGAGCATTTTGAGGCAGCTTTCCTTGGGGAAAACAGTGTTTTTTTTTTTAGAATTCTCAGAAAACAGTGCCCATTCAAACCTGCCGCATCACAAAACCCACCTCCACCACTGGGAAGTTGCTCTGCGAAAGGTTTTAGACGTCTAAATTATTCACTGTACACACGTGCAATATTCCTGAAACCGCTACACGCATGCACAGACGTAATTACACCCGAGCACGCGCATAAACCACCACCACCCACCGTCCAGTCGATACTGCGAGCCAAACGCGTAGCCATCATCAACAGGCGGCGGCTCCGGTAGAGTGATTTGCTCTCGAGTGGTGAGACTCTTGTCCACCGCCCTGCACCCCACACAACCACGACACACAAAAGACGGGTCAGATCATGATGAGAAAGAAGGAACGAAAGCAGGCAGTAGCACACCAGGGAGACCGCTTCCCGCCTCACCCGGGTTGAAGCTCGAAGGCCCCGTCAGGCAGGGCGAGCAGGTCCTTCCACTCCAAGCGCTCTCCCTGGCAGGCAGGGGGAATAATTACTCGCTCGTGCAAGCTAGGGAGTGCTCCCTGGCTCCAAGTGCTCTCCCTGGCAGGCAGTGCTCTCCTATAATTACTCGCTCGTGCAAGCCCCTAACCCACAGTTGCTCCTACCTGCCTCTCCTCCTCTCACCCCCGCTGCAGCTTGAAGAACCCGTCAGGCAGGGCGAGCAGCTTATCGAGCTCCAAGTGCTCCGGCAGAGTGATGGCATGGAACGTCGCTGTTGCACACTGCCATATTGCTCACATGCCCGTAACCATGGCCCTCACACCACGCCTCTACCCTTGTCTCCTCGTCTCACCCAGGTGGCAGCTCGAATACGCCATCAGGCAAAGCAAGCAGCTCCTCCAACTCGAAGTGCTCTGGCAGAGTGATGGCGTGGCGTGGAACGACGCTGTTGCACACTGGTCACTTGCACATTCCCCCTAACCGCCTCTACGCCCCTACGCGCCTCTACATTTCTCACCCAGGTTGCAGCTCGAACACGCCGTCAGGCAGAGCGAGCAGCTCCTCGAGTTCAAAGTGTTCAGGGAGAGTGATGGCATGGAACGACGCCGTTGCCGCCTCTGGGGGCAGGTCCACCGCTGCTCGCGCCAATACCTGGTGGGGAGGGGCGGAGAGCGAGAGACGAGTGCCAACAATGAGGGGTACAACGAGATAAAAACATGCAGAATGTGCATGCTGAAACCTAAAAGCCGTTTTTACATGTCACTGGGGATTAAGCAGACGTGGGAGAGGAGTTTGATACAAAAAGGTAAGCCCACAGACCGACAACGAGTGCAGAAGGAGGAATTTTTTATGTAATAAATGAGTTTTAAAGAGTATTATTAGTGCATACCTGCTTCATGCGCAGCACCGCATCGGAGCAATCCGCGTACAGATAGCCCACCTGGGGGGGCAACGGGCGAGGGAAGGACAACAAGGTTACTTTACAAGGTTAATACGCCCATAACGTCGCAACGGCCTTCCAGCGGAGAGAGTAAGAGAGCATTTCACAGCTCACAATGCAGCATGCTCGATTCAGTGCACACGCCACGCGCACTGCTGAAGCATCAGCAATGAAACAAGGAGAGAAAAGCATCAATCCAGAAAAGTGTACCTTCCGCGAGTATATTCGCACGACGCCGAGCAGCAGATGCCCCGACAGCCGCAGCGCGATGGGGACCTCGGGGTGAAGAATGGTGTCTGGGGGAGGGGGGAGAAGGGAGGAGAGGGGGGGGGGGAGGGAGAGGTGGGGGAGAGGGGTGTGGTGGGTGTAACGGTTTAGCTTGTGTTACGGTTACCACGACGAGGATTAAACGTCGAAATTTGATAAAGCGTACGAACGCTACAGCAACTTCTATGCACGCCGCGGATAGGAGACTAGGACAATCAGACAAAGACAGCGGCAATTTTTTTTTAGCGCGAAAGTAAACACACAGAAACGTAATCTTTAAAAGCTTTAAAGCCCGAGAACCAAGTTGGCAAGGGCCCGCTGAAAGCGTTCCTCACCGACGGTCTGCGGGATGTCGGTTTCGTAAATCTGATTCTTCCGCAGCTTCCGCTCCAGGTGCGCCGCTATCCATATCGGGCCGAGCGCGCCCTTCTTCGACAAAAATAGCTGCGAAAAGAACATCGCGACGACGACGACGACGACAGCGACGGCAACGGCGACGACGACGACGACGGCGGAAGTAACCCGAAGTTAACAAGAAATGGCTCCTCAACAGCGCGACGGACACGAGGATCGCGGCAACGACGACGTCGCGACTACGTCGGACATGGAATAGGACTGTGGAGGACGCGTCAGCTGTCGCCAGCGACAAGTCCGAAGACGGCGAGAGACTGCAACAGCTATGGAGAAAATGCAGCGATCGGACGATGTGAGCAAGGACTGGTGTGCAGACGAAAAAAAATATGAACGCTGCTGGTAGTAACAGAAGACGGCCTGAACTAAAACCGTTGTCCGACCGCGAACCGAACACGAGCAGTCAAAGTTGAGCTAAACTAATGCTCCCTGAGGAAATCAGTATTGTACTGAAAGTGCATTCATATTAGCATCTAAATTAGGACCTTGACCTAGCCGTCGGTTATTGCGAGCCTCCTCCTAGCAACACGCAACTTTAGTCCCTAGTCACTTAGTGCGCTAGGAAAAGCTGAAATGCTGAAATTGCTCAAACTGCTCTCCTCCCTTATCGACTCCTTGCCCTTATCTCACAAGCGCTCTCCGCGTGAATGGTGCCTTCCGCAAACGCAACCCTGTTAGCGCAGGTTGCGCACAGGGGGAGCTCGGCTGTCGTTACAGTATGACTGCCTTCCGCTTGACGATTGCTGGGGGGAGGGAGGGGAGTAGCGAGCGCGCGCGGGAGAGCGGGTCTCGTCTCGTCTCATCTCATCCACTGCTGTGTTTGATTGACGTCGCTCGTCTGCTTGACGCCATCTTGCTGCAGCGCGTGATTGGCTGGGGAATATCGGCGGTGCGCAGAGCACTGCGAACTGCGCACTGCGCCCTGCATGGGGTGGAGTGGGTGCGCGAGGTCCTCCGCCCTCCACGTAGCCGCAACCAGAATTGGAGTTGCAAATAAAATCGTACGCGTTTGTAATAAATCTGATAGAATGTATCAGTGACCTTATAATTGTATAAAAACTGCTCTGAACCCTAAAAGCTCGCTTTCCTTAGGCCACCTCGAAGCTGCTTTCCGTGGCCGATATTGCTGCGCGATTGGCTCTCACCTTTTTTTGTGGGCTCGGGCTGCCCTCCCAGGGATTGCCCTTCCTGGGATTGCCCACACCACGAGTCACAACCTTGAGGGTTGCCCACGCTCAGGGCGTGTTACATTTTTCGAAGTCACTGAAAGTCCGGACGGCTGTCCGGACGCGTACGAAGATTGCGACGTCGCACGGTTGCTTTGCGATCAAAGCGATGTCGCAAGGAGGCAATACGAAGAATACGACGTCGTTTAGACCCTGACGAGCTCACTGCCGAGAATTGACGAGTTCTGTAACCACACAACTGTCCGGACGGTTGGCCCTCCAGACGAAATAATAAAACATGTAACACGCCCTCAGAAATAGAAGACTTTCCGTTCCGAACTGAATGGTCCGACCGAGTTTTCACCATCCGCCGCCACTGGTCGTGGCGCAACAACCCTTGCTTGTTGAGCTCAGCACAGCAACCAACCAACTCGATGTACGCCACTGCTTGACCAGCCGCCTCAACGCCTCTCTAGCCTGCAAGACACTAGCTGATCTTCCATTCCTGAGCCTCGTTCTGTTAGCTTCCTTGTCCCTCACTCGTTGATATATTACCCGTTGATGACCAGAGAGGCCCTGTAAAGCAGCCACACGGGTTCATTCTACGTTACATCTCGTGTCAAATGACACGCCGACCCAACATTTACACGATCGGCGACGCCCTTTCCAGATCATCATGAGAACGGCTAGGCGACACAAAGTGTCTGCTTTACCTTAAACAGACGAAGCGTTTAGAGTTTTTAGAACCTGCACCGGCCGCTAGAATGGCAGCATGTAACTCGGGATCGTCGATGCACTTAAGCTCCCTTAGTCGCCGTCAATCCAGCTGCTGTAGGAACAATCGCCGTAAGAACAGCGCAGCGCTGTCACTAAATCCGGCTCCTTCGTTGAGTCGGGCAGGAGCACATTCGTGTACTCATTCACTTACGTCGCGACTACTTGTGTTACAAGTATCTCTGTTACTGCTGACTGGACTGTTAGTCGCCACCGCGGTTCACGCCAATGGCGACTTTAAATATCGGGGAACGAAGGCGGCTGACGGGAACGGAGTAGCGGCGTATAAAGCGGGTCCGCTACAAGCGGCTCCCGTCCCCTTGACCCTCCTTCCAGACAATCCCTTCGGCGCGAAATGCCTCGACGGCAGGTAACCCCACAGCGGCCTTTCGTCAACGAAGAAAGTTACTTACTCGTCGCTTGGTCTTCAATTGTGTTGTGTTTCCTTCTCCGTTAACATACAATAAGCGCCTATTCCTATGAGCGAAAAGCGTCGCCGAACCGGACTAAACCGATGTTTTCCTCCTCTGCACCCCTCTCCCCTTTCCCGGGGCTTTCTTCTCCATTTCCCCTTCCCCCCGCCCGAACCCCCCTCCCACCTCTCCTTCCCTCCTCCCCCCCTCCTTCCTCCCCAGTCCCCTCCCCATCGCTCTCCCTTCCCCCCATTGTTTTCCCGTCTTCCTCCCGCCTTCCTTCCCCGCCCGCCTCCCCCAGTCCCCCCGGGTACTACCTGCGGCGCGCGCGGCCGTCGCTGAGCCGCTTCTGGCACATCCACCTGCCGGGCGGCGGGTGGTGCACCACCGAGGAGACGTGCGCGTGGCGCGCCGGGAGGAAGCTGGGGTCGTCGCGCCTGTGGCCCAGGGCAATGATTGTGCGTGTGTTGAAGGGGAACGAGTGTGCATGTATAAAGGGGAAATGAGGGTGCGTTGAGGGGTTCAAATGTGCGTGTATTGAAGAGAAGCGGGGAGGAAGCTAGGGTCGTCGCGCCTGTGGCCAGGGCAATGATTGTGCGTGTTACGATGGGTAGTAGGGTGTTGTATGTTGAAGGGAAATGAATGTGCGTAAATAGAAGGGGAATGAGGGTGCCGCATGTCAAAGGATTTGTATGTGCGTGTATTGAAGGGGAGAGCGTGCCTTCGTGTAAGGGATTCTTTTGTGCGTGCATCAAAGCAAAATGAATATGCATATATCGAAGGGAAGTGCACGTGACTTCCATACTCACCCCTCTCCACCAGCCCGCATTGCTGCCGGGCATCATGAGCGGAGACCCGGACGTAAACCTGGGTTTCGGCGAGTGGAACCTGGCCATTGCAGTGTACTGCGATGGGGGCGGGTACGTGGGGCGTGTGGGGTCTCAGTGCGAGGTCATCTCAGAACCACCTCAATCCAACTCCCACTATCCCTTCTCCCCCCCTCCACCAGCCGGCATGGCTGCCGGGCATCATGAGTGCAGACCCGGACGTAAACCCGGGGTTCGGCGAGTGGAACCTGGCAGTGGCAGTGTACTGCGATGGGGGCGGGTACGTGGGGCGACGGGGCGAGGTGGCTGTGGGCAACACAACGCTCCACATGGACGGCTGGAAGATCATCATGGCCATTCTCCATGGTGCGTGCGGTCCTGTCTCCCACAGCCCCCCTTCCCATCCCACCCATTCATCCTTCCCCAGTGCCCCACCCCACCCCTTCCCTCCTCATGGACGGCTGGAAAATCGCCATGGCCATTCTGGATGGTTCGTACATTCTTCCACCCGCCTCTCTCCACCCTTCCCTTTCCTCCTTCCCCACCCCACCCCCCCTCGCTCCACCCCACCCCTTCCTCCTTCCCCACCCATTTTTGGAGCTTCAGTCGTTTCAGTACTTTAGGCATGTGCTTGCTTGTCTTGTCGTTTCCACCCTGCCTCCCTCTTTTGCACACTCATACGCATCCATGCATGCAAATACTCTCGTTCCTCCTCCCTTTCCCCATCCAATCACACACACTTACGCACACACACACACACGCCTCCTTCCCCCTCCCCCCATTGAATCACACACTCTCATCCCAGACCTCTCATCTAAAGGGCTCATGGCAGCTCAACAGGTTCTAATAACGGGAGAGTCAGCCGGGGGGCAGGCAGTCGTGAACCTGTGTGACTATATCGCAGCCTACCTCTCCTTCGCCACCGTCAAATGCCTCTCTGATGGGGGCTTCTTCATTGGTGCGTAGCACAACATAACATGTATGATGCATTTCACCCACCCACGTACCTCCCACCACCTATACTCGCTCGCATTACTCATGCAACACCCGCAACACAATCCTCCTCTGCCCATGCTCCTCTTCCCCTTGCCCTTCCCCTTGCCCTTCCCTGCCTTGACCCTTCCTTCCCCTTGCCACTTCCCCTTGCCCTTCCCCTTGCCCTTCCCCTTGCCCTTCCCCTTGCCCTTCCCCTTGCCCTTCCCTTGCCTTCCCTTGCCCTTACCCCTTGCCCTTCCCCTTGCCCTTCCCCTTGCCCTCCCCTTGCCCTTACCCCTTGCCCTTCCCTTGCCCTTCCCCTTGCCCTTCCCCTTGCCCTTCCCATTGCCCTTCCCCTTGCCCTTCCCCTTGCCCTTCCCCTTGCCCTTCCCCTTGCCCTTCCCTTGCCCTTCCCCTTGCCCTTCCCCTTGCCCTTCCCCTTGCCCTTCCCCTTGCCCTTCCCCTTGCCCTTCCCCTTGCCCTTCCCCTTGCCCTTCCCCTTGCCCTTCCCCTTGCCCTTCCCCTTGCCCTTGCTTCCCCTTGCCCTTCCCCTTGCCCTTCCCCTTGCCCTTCCCTTGCCCTTCCCTTGCCCTTCCCCTTGCCCTTCCCCTTGCCCTTCCCTTGCCCTTCCCTTGCCTTCCCTTCCCCTTGCCCTTCCCCTTGCCCTTCCCCTTGCCCTTCCCCTTGCCCTTCCCCTTGCCCTTCCCCTTGCCCTTCCCCTTGCCCTTCCCCTTGCCCTTCCCCTTGCCCTTCCCCTTGCCCTTCCCCTTGCCCTTCCCCTTGCCCTTCCCCTTGCCCTTCCCCTTGCCCTTCCCCTTGCCTTCCCCTTGCCCTTCCCCTTGCCCTTCCCCTTGCCCTTCCCCTTGCCCTTCCCCTTGCCCTTCCCCTTGCCC